ACCAGTAATGAGCAATACATCTTGATTGCATGTTTGATCAATTTCAGATTGAAAAAGTTGGTAGAATTCTTCTATTTCATCCTCACTGGCTTTAGTTGTTGGAGCATAAATATTATCCTATCACTGACAGCATTTTACTTCATGACTGATCTGGATATGTTCTTTTTGACAATGAATGCAACACCATTCCTCTTCAATTTGTCATCCCGGGATAGTAAATCATGTGGTTGTCAGATTCAAAATGTCCAATACCTGTCCATTTCAGCTCACTAATGTCAGAGTGCTCCTTGGAGACCAGGATGGCCAAACTTTGTCTCTCATACTTTGGACAGATTGTCAGGAGGGACCAGTCACTAGAGAAGGATATCATGTTTGGTAGGGTGGAGGGGTCAGAGAAGATGAGGAAGACCCCCAGCGAGATGGATTGGCAAACTGGCCGCATCAGTGGGTTCAATCATGGCAACGATAGTGAGATTGGCCCAGGATCAGGCAGTGTTTCATTTTGCTGTTCAAAAGATTGCTGCTATGAGTTCATACTGACTCAGTGGCACCTAACAACAACAAAACAGTGCCTAAGATATAGATGTTTCTGTGTTCCATTTCATTTTTGAAAGTTTCTAATTTTCCTAGATTCATACTTTGTAAATTCCATGTTCTGATTATTAATGGATGTTTACAGCTGTTTCTCTTCATTTTGAGTTGTGCCGCATTAGCAAATGAAGGTCCTGAGGGCCTTACTCCCACAGGCTTTACTCCATTTGCGTCATCATGGTTAGCTCTACTTTGAGAAGGCAGCTCTTCCCCAGTCACATTTTGAGTGCCTTTCAATCTGAGGGGTTCATTTTCCGGCACTATATCTGACAGTGTTTCTCTGCTATTAATAAGGTTTTCAGTGACTAAATGTTCAGAAATAGTTTGTCACTCCTTTTTCCTAATCTGTCTTCGTCTAGATACTCATCTGAAACCTGTCCACCATGCGTGACCCTGCTTGTATTTAAAAAACTGGTGGCATAGCTTCCAGCGTCACATCAACTCACAAGCCACCACAGTATGACAAACTGACAGACACGTGCCTAAGAAATAGTATAAGTAGTCATGCTGCAGTTACATATGGGAGAGTTATTGATAAATTATATGAATAAGAATCATCATTTTCTACTGAATAAAATTTGTATTTCTCATTGTAGCTGAACTTTCTCTTCTGAAGAATAAGAAATGTGATTAAAAATAGTAAATATTAGCATTCACAAAGTGCCAACTATGTACCAATCGCTTTGCTTTCTAACCTCACTGAATGTCTCTATCCATTTTCCATTAAGGAAGGATGGCAAACTTGGCCTAGGTAACCTGGTGATGGTGGCTGTGTGCCGTGGAGTCAGTTCCGACTCATATCGACCGTGTACAGAGTTTTCGAGGCTGTAAATCTTTACGGGAGCAGAACGCCTCATCTTTCTCCCATGAAACAGCTGGTAGTTTCGAACTGTTGACCTTGAAGTTCGCAGCCCGATTCGTAACCACTACGCTACCAGAGCTCCTGTAGGTAACCTAGTTGTTGTTGTTGTTAAGTGCCATCGAGTCGGTTCCGACCCATAGGGACCCTGTACAGGGTTTCCGAGGGTGTAAATCTTTACGGGAGTAGAAAGCCTCATCTTTCTCCCGCGGAGCGGCTAGTTAGAGGTATAAGAATTAGACCAATACAATTCACCTCGACATTCTTCCATGATTCTTTGTTATGCTGCTTCTTTTAAACCAATAGATCATAATAACAAACTTCTCTAAAGTGGAAATTGTTTATGTGCCTTGGAATATTTTAAAATTGGATTTTCAGGGGTGGATCTTGTTCTGCTTCTGTATAGTAAGGTAAGCACTGGGCTTCTCCCTTTATTCTGACAGAGTAGGCCCTCCAGCTACCCCACAGGACAAACGTGAAAGTGTCTGACCTGTAAAGGTTTACAGTCTTGGAAAGCCTATGGAGCTCTCTAGGGCTGCTGTAAGTCGGAATCTTACTCAATGCCCGTGTTTTTTTGGGTTTCTGTGTCTTGCTGTTTTAAAAAATACTGTGTAAATTTTCTAGTGAGATGGAATTTTATTTTTTCAAAAACTATGGCTTTGTAAAGCCCAGCAATGTGCCGGCGTATTTGTTTTCTTGACCATCACTTTCCTCCTTTGCCTGTCGTCCTTCTTCTTGTCCTCTTCTTCTTCATTCTCTTAGAGAAACCATAAGACCCAGTTTCCCAGGATACTCCTGGTTTATACCTGTGGTTCAGGCACTGTAACCCTTCATTAAGGTAGAGTCGTGGTTACGAATCGGGCTGCTAACCTCAAGGTCGGCAGTTTGAAATTACCCACGGTTCCGCAGGAGAAAGATGAGGCTTTCTGCTCCGGTAAAGACTTACTGCCTCGGGAACCCTATGCAGAGTCGCTATGAGTCCAAAAGGACTCCACAGCACATAACCAACCAATCAACCAACCAAACCTTTCATTATTATAAATGGTAAAGATGTACACATTGTGGCTGCCCACTAGATGTCAGCAGAGTAACCTCTGGAGAATATTCAGGGAAAGCATTTTATTACAAAAGTCAAATCAGAGCAAATAATTAAGTATAGCTTAAGATCCTTGGCCATTCAAAACAAGGTTGAGAGCAGGGGGAGGAGAGAAGGAGCAGGTACAGGGCAGGTAGCTCTTCCTTGGGTTCCGTCAAGAAAGGGAACGCTTCTTCTCATTAGAAAGATTCCAGTGCTATTTAGAATGAGCAATGTGTGGTCCTTTTTAATTTTCACTCACAAGATGAAGCCAGTGTGCAGTAACGCTAGGAATCTTTTTCAAGCTTTGAATGAAGAAATGTTTTTCCCTTTCCGATCCCTGTTCTTCGTATCATGATCAGAGAGAGATCATACAGATCTTTACTGAATGAGTCAGAAGTTGAATTACCTGAACACAAATCCTTTGAAGATTAGAAGACACGCAGAGCTCAATGACACACTTGGATTCTTAGAATGACCCACGGACTGGACCTATAGTCTCTTTGACCCAGGAGGATACAGTTGCTTTCTAAAAGCCTTTCCCATTTCAGATGTGTGGTATGCTTCCGCGCACATGAGCATAGGTAGGAAAAAGGAGCCCTCACCATGCTTTTTCAGATATTTGTGGCTTTCCACCGTTGGAACTGTTTATTATTGCTGGTGGCACTCAAGTGTTCTGATGCATCTTCTGATTTGAATTCCGAAAATTCCACTGCCCTACAGTGGAAAAGCAACCCTACTGCTCCGGTTGCTGCTGCCAGCTCAGAGCCAGATGAGAGGATATCTGTGTTTTCACTGGATTATGACTACGTGCAAATTCCTTATGAGGTCACCCTCTGGATACTTCTAGCATCCCTTGCAAAAATAGGTAAGTCCCGAACACCTGGTTGTGGGAGTTTCTTTCTACATGAGAAATGCCTGACAAATGGTGAACTAAATTGATTTTAACTATTACTGCTTTTACTGCAACATTTTTGTTTTCTGTGTCAAGGTAATTGCTTTTTATGAAACCATTTAATGCTTCAGGATTGTACTCAGAAATTTAAGATCATACTTCTATATCTTGGTTTATTTTGGCTCCTTGACAACCATATGATGTTAGTTGGCAGGTAAACATCTCAAGTTCTATGTTTCAAAAAATATAAAGAGGAAAATACGTAGATGGTACAAGTTGGAAATTTCAGGAGTCACATAATGATTCTTCTGTAAAATATTCTTCCTTCATTCTTGACCATGCAACCATGGACTTCATCAATGGCACCTATTGTTTATTCTTTAAAAGTAGGGTATGTTCCTTGCAAATTGTCAGAAAGCAAGGAGCAAGACAACCGTAGGCAACATTTACGTCCTTCAGTGAAGGGATATGGCAGCATGGGAGATTGTATCTGGCAGTAAAATATTGGTTTACAACTGAGCCAAACAGAGAGTTAGTGGGGCACCTCAAGCTTTCTTTTTTAAAATAAAGTGAATTTTAATTAATGGATTAAATTCTAATAAAGAGTCTTTTATACTAAGAAACCAAAGTGGTGGTTTACACTCTGTGTCTATTTATCCTAAACTCCACCCACCCCTTTGCCTCCTTAAAATCAGTTTTTTCCAAAGTGAAAAATTGATATAGTTACCTTAATTATGAAGCATGAATTGTCCTTTGATTCACTTACAAGCTTTATGTTATCTGAGCAGTCAGATCGCATTTTTGAAGTCCAGGTGATGCTGTGGGTAAAATGTTTTGCTGCTAACCAAGTGGTTGGTGATTCAAACTCAGCACACACTCTACTAGAGAAAGATGAGGCAGTCTGCTTCTGTAAAGACTTTTAGCTTCAAAATCCTATGGAGGAGTTCTACTGTGTCTTACAGGTTCGCTATGAGTCAGAATCAGCTCAGTTGTAGTTATTTGGGGTATATTGAGATAAAACCTAGATTGAATATTTTGAAACTAAATTCTATTTTTTCTCTAGAGTTAGTGTGAATTTGGGGTTGAGCATGAAATTGGACAATTAGCTCTTTGGCATCAGTACTATAGATTTTGTCTATTTATTTAACACCCTCTCCAAGGATAATTGTACCATTGCTTCTTTGTAACTGCTACTCACTCATTTTGAGTTGATGAACTCTGAGAACTGAATGGGAATCAATCGCTTTCAGAACTTTTGGGCTTCTTGTTAAATGATTGCTTTACATAAAGCGTCTCATATTGTTTTTAAGAGGTCCTCAAATAAAAAGAGTTTTCCAACTGGATGACATTTTCAGCTCAGAGCTTAGGGTCTACATCTTAAATGAGACCGCATGGATACTGAGACCATTCGAGGTGATTTTATGTGCGTGAATTTAGGAGTATCTTCTGATTTTTTATTTGTGACCATTTAAATTTCAGAAGCTGAAATTGCAAAGCCTCTAAATAACTGACTCTATTGTTCATCATGAAAGAGGAGAATGTTTTAAAATGTAAAATAAACAAGGTGTTGTTTCTTTTCCTTAGAATTTCATATATTATCTGGCCTCACATGGCAATGTAGGTAGAGTTCCCTTTTACAGTGCCCCACTTATAGCAATGTGGTGTGGCATTGTGGGTTAATGCGCTGGTGTGGCATTGTGTTTTAATGCTCTGGACTGCAAAGTTGGTTTGAACCTCAAGATCGGCGCTTCACATTTACCAGTAGCTCCTCAGAAACCCTGTACAGGGTTGCTATGGGTCAGAACCAATTTGACAACACTTAACAATGACAACAACAAATTATAGTAATACAGCTACTTCCTGCTACCACTGCTAAGAGCGTAACTTAGCTTAAGGAAGGTGCATGTCAAAGTCATTCCTGGAAACTGGATTCCTGGAAGCAGCACAAACTTGGGGAGCCATGGACCTGAGAAAATCAACCTATGGGCTCTTTCATCTTTAAGGAAGTTAAACTGGGTTAACATAAGCTTTAAGAGAAGAACAAAAAGCCACTAGGAAATGCCAGATTTCAGAAGAACTTGAGAATTCAGAGGGCTACATTATTTCCAGAGTGTAGAACTCCTTATGTGGGCCTTGAAGCCAGTGGGATAAGGGAATTGGTGGGAACAGTTTCTCTTGATACTAATGATATTGATGTTGTTATATTCCGTGATACTGATTGTACTCCATTATATTAACCTGTCTTTGGAGGGTAAATTTTGTTGTTGCTGTTGTCAACTGCTGAAAAGTTGGTTCTGAGCTCTAGCAACTCTGTTCCAAGGAGCCGCTGGTGGGTTTGAACTGCCGACTTTGTGGTTAGCAGTCCAATGCTTATCCTACAGTGTTGTTGTTGTTGCTGTTAAGTGCCATTGAGTCCATTCCATAGTAAATTGAGACGTTTAAAGAGGAGATCAGAGAAAACAATACTCTATGGATGGCTGAGCCTAAAGATTCCTAAAGAGCAATTCACTGGGTCTCCATGGCCTAAGTGAGGAAGCCCACCTTCTTTAACCTAAAATTCCAGGCTCTCCATTCTCTGGCTCAAAATCATCTGCCAACTCTTTTCCCACAACTCTTCCCAATAAAAAATTTGCCTCAGCAGGTGCAAACATATGTCAAAAATGTGTAGCTGCCTCTCTCTTGTTGTATTTGAAATTCTCCCCACCTAAAATGTCTTCCACTCTGTTATTCAACTATATAAATCCTAATCCTTCTCCAACCACCAAGGAGCCCTAGTGACACTGTGGGCTAAGCATTAGACTGCTTAAAGCCAGGTCAGTAGATCAAACCCACCAGTCACTCCCAGAGGGAAAGATGAGGCTATGGACTCTCATAGCCTATATAGATTTATAGTCTTAGAAACCCTAAGGAACAGTTCTACTTTGTCCTATAGGGACACTATGAGGCAGATCTTCTTGATAGTCATAGGTTTGTCCAACAACCCGTTTAATTTCTATCTTTCATGTAAAAGCTTCTCAGGGCAGCCATCCAGTCATTCCCTTATATACGTACAGATTTTGTTTCAGCACATAGATCAGTTCTTGTAGAAAAGACACCTTGGTAAACACTTTGGACAGATATAAAAAATGCATATCATTGTGCTTGGGAGTCCTGGTATGGTACTGTAGGATAAGGTACTGGATTGTAAAGAAGGTTTAAACTGCAAGGTTGGTGGTTCAAACCCACTAGCTGCTTCTCGGAAACCCTATACGGGGTCAATATGATTCAAAAATGACTTTCACAACAACATCATTGTGTCTGAGTTTAAAGAATTTAGAGATTATTTGTTGTTAAGTGCCGTCAAGTTGGTTCCAACTCACAGTGACCCTGTATAACGTTTCCAAGGCTGTGAATCTTTGCAAAAGCAGAAAGCATCATCTTTCTCCCATGTTTTCTCAAACTGCTGATCTTGTGGTTAGCAGTCCAATGCTTATCCTACAGAGCTATAGTGCTCCCCTAGGAATTAGTAGGGGAGATGAACTATACACACACAGAAAAAAAAAAAAAGATAAGGATCATTGTCTAGAGACATATAGATAAAATGTTAAAGTATTTCTAAGGAAGACTTACCATTTCTTTGGGAGGAAGTTGGGAAAAGCTAGACCTCACAATGCGAGCAGGACCTGAACAGGTGGAGGGAAGGGCAGCCCAGGCAGCAGAAATAGCATTAGACAAAAAAGAGGGCATGCTGGGTATCAAGGCATTTGACTCTCTACAATTTAGTAGACAAAAGTAAAGCAGGGTGTGAAAGAAGTTTGGAGAAACCCTCTGACAACCCTGAGGTTCTCACCATTACCTTACTTGTTGGGATCATCAGTATTCACTTCATCGTACCTTATGTGTTAGGTTGCTTTTGCCTTCTTCTTTGCTGATGTGTTACTACTTTGTCATCATAGCAAAACTTTGGTTTTCCACCTCACAGTGCTTAGCAGAGCATATATGGTTTGCTCTTTGCACAGAGTGCTCAGCAAATAGCCTCAGTTACAAATCCTTAAGATGCTTTGCATGCCTTCAGAGTGTCAGGTGGAAAATGAGACAATCTGATACTCATGACTAGAAAAACCTGTCTGACAGCGGTTTTGCGGTGGTATTGAGGGTTAAGGGTGAAATTAAAGATCAGGAGGCCGTCTGGAGCATATTAAGGGTTCAATTCCAGACCATTGCAATAAAGTGAATTGCACAGAGAAGTGAGTCCATCAATGTTTTGGCTTCCAGCTCATTTAAGTTATGTTTACATTATGCTGTAGTCTATTAAATGTGCAGTAGACTGTCATGGCACTGTAGGATAAGCACTGAACTTCTAACTACAAGGTCAGAGGTTCAAACCCACCATATTTTCCTTGGAAACCCTATAATGGGTTGCTAGGAGTCAGAACCGACTCAAAAGCACGTAACATCAACAATAATGAGCCTTAGGAAGATATTTGAAATATTATGAGAACTGCCAAAATGTAACACAGACACATAAAGTAAGCACACGCTGTTAGAAAAGTCCAGCCTATAGATTTGTTCAATGCAGGTTTACCACAAACCTTCACTTCATAAATAACGCAATATCTGTGAGGTGACATGAAATACAGCGCAGTAAAAGGAAGTGTGTTTACAACTAGGTGAAGAAACAGGGAGGGTCTACTTAAAGGCAGTAGTCAAAGAAATGGGGGAGGTTGATACTTATCAACTATGGCTCTGGTCACATGGAGACAGTGATGAGAGAAGGGGCTGACAAGAATGTGGCCTGACTTTTCTCTTGAGTGACTGCCCAATACCAGTGTCTTTATTCAGGTAAAGAAAACAAAATAAAGGAATTGCGTTTTTTTTTTTTTAATTTTGCTTGTTTGTTGGAGAGGGGAATAGGACTCAGGGGAACAAATGAAACCTGGAAGGGAAATTTGGACAAGGTGAGTTTTGGGTGACTCTGCATGAGTTAAATGTGAGTTTGTACAAATGCAGAAGAGTTTTGTCCTCTTCTCTTTCCTCGTGTGCTCTTCAGATCCCCTGAAGATGGGGAAAGCAGAGAGCAGGATGGGAAAAGGGGATGAGCAACTGAGAAAGTATCCTCTACTTGCACCAGTCCCAACATGTAAAGTACTCGAGCTCCTTTAAAACCCACACAACATGGCCGGGTGGACAGTCAATACCTGCTCTGGTTGAGGTTCTGAGGCTCAGAAATGACAAAAAGCTTGCCATAGGTTTCATCTTCATGGGTTTAAATGACTTCTTGTACACATCCCCATCGTGTCTAGAATTGCATCCCTTGTAAACACCTTCTTGTAACCTCTGCTCTTTCCCAGGCTTCCATCTTTACCACCGACTGCCAGGCCTCATGCCAGAAAGCTGTCTCCTCATCCTTGTTGGGGTTTTGGTGGGCAGCATCATCTTTGGCACTGACCACAAATCACCTCCAGTTATGGATTCCAGCATCTACTTCCTGTATCTCCTGCCCCCCATTATCTTAGAGGGTGGTTACTTCATGCCCACCCGGCCCTTCTTTGAGAACTTTGGCTCCATCCTGTGGTGGGCTGGTCTAGGGGCCCTGATCAATGCCTTTGGCATTGGCCTCTCCCTCTACCTCATCTGCCAGATCAAAGCCTTTGGCCTTAGTGATGTTAACCTGCTGCAGAACCTGCTGTTTGGCAGCCTGATCTCAGCCGTGGACCCTGTGGCTGTGCTGGCTGTGTTCGAAGAGGCACACGTGAATGAACCACTCTACATGATGATCTTCGGGGAGGCCCTCCTGAATGATGGAATCAGTGTGGTAAGAGGCCAGTAGCATGCCCCTGGGGAGATCAGGGATCAAGAGTGGGCTTGGGGAAAGGGGACTGTTGTGCTTGAGGCTAATTGGAAAGTACAAGCATGGCTGGGCTGTAGCAGGACACGGATCACTTCAGTCAATGTTGTGTGTCCCGGGTCCTGGAGACTTTTCTTAGGATCTGCATTGTGTACATCATTGTTCACTAATGTGACTTGTCATTCGCTAGCCAACTAACTTGTTTAAGGAGTGAAAAAAGACAGAGGAGATAAAATTCTGTAGTTTAATTCAATTTTTCACTTAGCAAGCAGAACTGTTGTTCAGGCTCTTCTGCGTTTTCACATTAGGAAAAGCAGTAGTTTATGCTTTAATAGACTAATTTACCCGACCTTGCCCCAATTTTGTTTCTATGCTTTGTTTTACTTAATAAGCTGCATAGGGGGAGAGAAGACACAGGATTTGAAAAGCAGCATTAGCTTATATATCCACTCAACTGCATGACTCACTTGGAAAATGAGAGTGGGACCTTTTCTTAAGAGCTGTTCTAGAGAAAAGGCAGGAAGGAGTCCTTGTGTGGCGCTGTACATTAATTCACTGGACTGCAACATCGTTTGAACTGTTAGGTTGGTGGTTCAAGCTCACCAGCTGCTCCTTGGAAACCCTGTACAGGGTCACTGTTGGTCAGAACGGACTCAATGGTACCTAACAACAACAACAAAAGAAAGGAGGCAAGAGACCAACAAGCTGCATCAACTGTAGTACTAGGACCCAGAAGGGCTTTAGAGGTTGGGGTTGCTGGAATATTCAGAATTAGTCAGCTACATTGCTGAGTTTCAACTTATTAATATAAACTGTTTATCAATTATTAGTCTATGAGGCATTATACTTTTCTTATTTTTAAGTGTATAGCCATAAGGTCAGCAATTCAAGCCCACCAGCCGCTCCTCATAAACCCTATACAGCATTGCTGAATTGGAACCAGCTCAACAGCACTTAACAACATACATCACATCACATATGCCATGCTAGCATACATTTTCACTGCAGAAGAGTCAAACAATCCAAAATTCTACAGCATAAAAACAAAAGCTTCAAGACAATCTGTTTATCAGTTTGACTTTTGCCTTCTTAGTCTTTATAATCTATGCAGTTGTAAGGTGCCCTCGTGACCCTCTAGGGTAAGAGATGGGCTGCTAACCACAAGGTTGGCAGTTCAAAGCCACTAGCCTTTCTGCAGGAGAAAGGTGAAACTGTTGGCTGCCATAAAGCTTTATATTTTCCAAAACCCTATACAGTGTCACTGTGAGTCAAAGCTGACTCCATGACTGTGAGTTGGTTTTGGGTTTATATATGTAGATGTAGGTGATTTACTTCAGAAAGTTCACATTGAAAACCCTATGGAATCCAGTTCTGCTCTAACACACACGTGATCCCCAACCATCAGAATCCTCTGGACTGCAACTTGTTTAGCTGTGTTTTATGCATTTGATTTTACATAAATGGAGACTTATATTAGATGTGTTGTTTGCATGTAATAAATCCTGCATTCCTTTCTGTGTCTTTTCAATGGCTACATACTATTTCATAGACTGAGTTTATAAAGATTTGTTTAAACATTTCCTAGTTGATAGCTTATTTCCAGTTTTCACTCTTGACAGTATTGTAGCAAATATTCTTTTATTTCTTTTTGCATTGCTTGTATTTTTATAAATTATATTCTTGGAAGTAAAATTTCTAGATTAAAAAGTATTTGCATTCAAAAGCAGAGCACAGTTCTACTCTGGTACACATGGGATTGGCAAGACTAATTTCCTTGACTCCTTTGACTCAAGGGCATTTTGCACGCGCGCGCGTGCGTGCGTGCGTGCGTGCGTGCGTGCGTGCGTGTGTGTGTGTGTCCTGTCTTTAGATACTTTCATGGTTTCAGTTTTGTTACAATCAAGTCAGTGTTTTTGCCTGGGCATGCATTCAATCTCTTGAAGTAGGACCTCTGGAGTATTGTATGCTAATTTCTCATTTTATTTCCCAGAAAATATCTGATTTCACTCATCTTCTTGGGGGAGGTCTCCTTGTTTACTATGATAATCAATACTGACAATGCCATGAAAAGCATTTGCCTGTAATAACATCATAGGCACCTGTTGGCAGCCCAGTTTGAATCAGTTATTCCACTCTCCTTCATAAATTATTAGTGAAGTCTAGAAATCACATTCTATACACCGTCTCTTCAATTCTCACAGAACACGCTCTTTGTTCACTGGGGCCTCTATGATATAATCTACAATAATTTTTCCCTCAAAACAGAGTAGTTATAATCAGTGAGTCAAGCATTTGACTATTGTCTGTTTGGTGTTGCCTCTGAACTTGAGGATTGGACTTCACCCTGAACTTTCTCTAGATTCCAAATCTAGAGCTGATTGCAGCTTGGTTTCTGGTTGCGATTTGTTGGCTAGCAATACTTGTTTGACTTTACCTAAGTTTAATTTCTTCTGCTGGGGCATTCTTGGAGAATAATCATTTCAAAGTAAAACGATAATTTTCTTGTGACCAGAGGATCTGGGGAGGGCACTTCTATGACCTCTGATGGGCAGAGCTGCTGCTGTGTTGGCTCCGGTTGGTTTGTCCACATGTCACTCCCAGCCACTCTGTGGTCACACCGCAGCACAGTGAGCAGAAAGTGTGTCAGGGCACTCCTGTGCCCCTAAGTGAAACCAGAGAGACTACAGGGCTAGATTTAGAAAGCAGCTTGAAAGCAACTGGTATTTTATCGCATCCTGGTATTTTGAGCTAAGGGTCCTGAACTCACCCTTTAATTGAGGAAGATGGCCTTCCTGGTGCAAGTCATCAGCTGAGCTACTCCAAGAGAAAGTGTGAGTCACTCAGAAAGTGATCTGTGATTTGTGGGTTACATGTGACAATTTTACAGATCTTTATCCGCCAAAAGGCTCCCTTCTCACTACAGAAAAAGAAGCTGTTTCAGAATTGTCAGAAAATCACTGCATTTGATAGTCAGGGTCTCTTGTTCCTCTTGTTGAGCCCTTAATGACTCTAGTTACCAGAACACAACCCTAAAAAGGACAAAGACAAAACCTAAATTGTTTTCAAATGGTCATCAGCAGAAGTACATTTAAGAATTATATCCTAAAGTTTCTC